TCAGGGACACCCCACTTTTAACTTCCAGTAGTGAACCCGATTCCCTTTAAAGCAGCAGGGGAAAATAAAACATATACTAGGTCCTCCAGATTTGAGAGGTTAGAACAAGGGTACCAACTTTATTTATGTAGTCTATTTTAGTAGGGTAACCCTCCCAACCAAACAAGTTGGGTAAAAAGGGCACCTAGCTGGGCAACATAGATATGTAACACTTCCCCATTCTTTCCAGGGATCCTTGTTTCTAGAAAACCACCAAACACCCTGAAAAAATATCGATCGGTTTCTGAACAGAACGATGGCTGAAAAGAATGGAATTGGAATCAACCCCTAGAAAACATATTCATTTCCCCTCCCACAATAAAGTTGGGTTAAAAAGGGCACCTAGCTGTAACATTCTAGGGGTAACTTCCCCATTCTTTCCAGATCCTTCTCTCTAGAAAACCACCAAACGCCCTGGGGAAATATCGATCAGTAGTTGAAAAGAACGATGGCTGAAAAGAATGGAATGGGAATCAACCCCTAGAAAACATAGTCATTTCCCCTCCCCCTAAAAGTTGGGTTAAAAAGGGCACCTAGCTGTAACATTCTAGGGGTAACTTCCCCATTCTTTCCAGGAATCCTTCTTTCTAGAAAACCACCAAACACTCTGGGGAAATATCGATCGGTTCTTGAAAAGAACGATGGCTGAAAAGAATGGAATTGGAATCAACCCCTAGAAACATATTCATTTCCCCTCCGCCAAAACAAGTTGGGTTAAAAAGGGCACCTAGCTGAGGGACCTAGTAGGTGTAACAGCTGCATTTGAAACCCTGCACCCCTGGTGAGCATCAGAATAGGTGGCCAATGGATGTTCATCCACCCATCGCCGATAAAAGAAGCGTCTACGAAGGATGATTATTACTTTAACGCAAATGAAGCCATAGGTTCTGCAACCCGTGGCCCATTTCTCCGCACGCCAACCGGCCGCTTCCCTCGTCGCGCTCGTCGCTTCCGAGGGGCGCGGCTGGCCACGAGCCCCGCTTGGTGCATCTCGGTGAAGGTGCGCAGGGCGCTGCCGGTGTCGCCGCCCGCCAGGTGGCCTGCGAGCCGCAAGCCGGGGGAAAACTGGGGGGAAAACCGACCAAAAAAACCGACCAAAAACCGAGGGAACAACGGGGAAAACCGAGAAAAACAGGAAAAAACGCAGAAAAAAAGAGGAAAACCGAGGAAACACTGGGGAAAGCCAGAGGAACCCCGTAACATGTCTCATCCTGTTATCCCCAAAATTGGAGAAACCCTGCCAAATCTAGGGGACACATACCCAGCATGTATTCAAGCCTCCTCCAATTTTCCTTGGTTTTCCTCCAGCATTTGTTTGTTGGACAAAGGGGAAACCGCCCAACAACATCAAAACCAACTGAGTCATAATCATATATATATACATATGCGTGCCGTGCCTGCATCTTTGAGGGCCGAGACAGTAGATAAGATGTCACCAACGTTTGAAGCAAAGTGGCTACTTTCCTTTTGGCTGCTCTTCAAAACAAGCCCCTACCCTCACCACTCATCAGTGTCACAATCGAAGCTTGGCATGAAAGGAGCTTGCCGAACACCCACGACAACACATGAAACGGCTTGTCGTCGCTCCAATTTGTGTTGTGCCCAAAAGCTGAACACCTCTTCCATGCTGACAAATACTGGGTCCCCTAATACAGGACAAGCACTGAAAAGAGCCTTAGGGGTGATGTTTAACCCAGCAAAAACAGGGCGATCATCTTAAACGTTGCTAACACCGGGGGTCCCCCAATGTTATCCGGATTTCCTCGAATTTCCACTAGTCGGGACAACTAGAGAACCCTAATGCCAATAAGTTTCCGTCGTTCCTAGCACAATTGGAAGACGCAAAACCAAGCCGATCACTGCTAAAACGACCTCCTTGACACACCAGGCACCGATTTGAAGGTTTGGCGGCATAGCTGCTGAGACCAACCAAAGCATCAAGCTGCTCCTACAACAACACACTACCTGTTTGGTCTAAGACTTCTCCAAGGGTTTGAGTGGTACCCAAAGGTGAAATAGGCCTGCCTTTCAGCATGGAAGCCAGCGGGAAACCTAAGAGAAAACAGACACACACAAACAAACAAACAAACAAACAGACACACAAACAAACAAACAAGCAAGCAAGCAAGCAAGCAAGCAAGCAAGCAAGCAAACAAACACACAAAAACACAAACACGCAAACACACAAACACGCAAACACACAAACACACAAACACAAAAACACACAAACACAAAAAACACACAAACACACAAACAAACAAACAAACAAACAAACAAACAAACAAACAAACAAACAAACAAACAAACAAACAAACAAACAAACAAACAAACAACAACAACAAAAAAAAAGAAGAAGAACAAACACACGCGCTCACGTACACGCCGACGCACACGCACACGCACATGCACACGCACACGCACACGCACACCCACCCACAAATACACACACACACACACACACACACACACACACACACACACACACACACACACACACACACGCGCGCGCGCCCACAACAACCAAGCAAGCAAGCAAGCAAGCAAGCAAGCAAGCAAGCAAGCAAGCAAGCAAGCAAGCAAGCAAGCAAGCAAGCAAGCAAGCAAGCAAGCAAGCAAAGCAAGCAAGCAAGCAAGCAAGCAAGCAAGCAAGCAAGCAAGCAAGCAAGCAAGCAAGCAAGCAAGCAAGCAAGCAAGCAAGCAAGCAAGCAAACAACAACTAAAAAGACAAGCAAGCCAGCAACACAACCAGCAACACAAGAGACAAGCATGACATCCGGAAAATCGGGCGACAGCAGGTCATCAGGTCCGCCAAGTGCGATGTTCACCCTATCCGCACCATGCAAAAGGGGAAATCCACATGCTTACGGCATCCGCCTTTCGACCAAAACCTGATGTTGAGTCTGGCCCGCCTTAAACTGAAAGAACCCCCCACAATTTTCCGGGCGAACACCGGCACCCCAAGACTCCCCCAAGACTCCCCCCAGACCTGCCATGAGATCAATCAAGCGGAAAAGGACAACCTTCCGCACCCGTCGCCTTTCATGAGGGTGTTGTAGCTCACCACGTCGACCAGCTCCTTTTTCTTCATCTCCTCGAAGAAGTGCAAGGCTTTCGGCAGCGCCTTGCACTCGATGCAGGCGTCCAGCAGGCAGTTGTAGACCTCACGAAAGTAAAAACAACCTCTCCACGTGGCTGTTTGAATCCAAACGGAATACATATATATATATATTATAATATATGGGACCCCCCGAAGCCCGGCGGCTTCCTTTCGGCTTCCCTTAACACCAACCACCCGCCAACAATTGGGGATCACAGTGCTGAAATTCTACCGAAGTGGGTGAAACCGGGTCCAGGGAGACCCAGTCATCGGGATTGTCTCCACCATTCGGACCCCCTTTTGGATGGGTCTTCAAAAGGATACCCAAACAGAACACTCATTTCGGGGGGGCCCCACTATGAGAACACTGAAGAGGAATCTCATCTAAAGGTGGCACCTTTGCACTGCTTTAACTGGACCCCCCAAAACCCGTCCATTTTGCGGAACGGAGTTTCCGTTGGGGGAAAGGACAGGAGAAAGTGGGGTCCTGCTGTGAAATATTCTTCAATCTGTTTACCTATTCCCTGAAAACTTTGCAAAATCCCCGGTTCCGCAGGGTACTCAGTAGATGGCTGGAAACCTTGGTTGATCCACTTCAGCCTAAGTGGCTAAGCATGGCAAACCCGGGACACAGCACCATGCCCGTTTGAGCGCCTTTCGGGCAAACATTGTCGGTGCATCACTGGAATCAGGATCTTGTGGATTGACTTGTGAACATCCATTAAAATGGGTGGCGCACCTCCCAAAATGGTACCATTGGTTTTGACCCGCAGCTATATCCTGGCTTGTGAGGGTTCGTCCGTGTTTTCGGTGGTTTGTTCATAAAGGGAGCACCAAGAATGCATAGTCAAACTAGGGAGCCCACCAACAAATAGACACATATTCTTAAGCAATCAACAGCATCTAGCATCTGACCGCAGAGACTGGGAGACACAGGGAGACAAGCCCGGAGCCGGCGTCACAGCATCTGGCATCTGACCGCGGAGACTGGGAGACACAGGAAAAAACAAGCCAGAGACACGACCCCGGAGAGAGGATGTGGGAGACCAGGGAGACAAGCGGGAGACACGACCCTGGAGCCAGCGTCACGAGACTGGGAGACACAAGGAGACAAGCCGGAGACAAGCCCGGAGCCGGCGTCACAGCATCTAGCATCTGACCGCAGAGACTGGGAGACACAGGGAGACAAGCGGGAGACACGACCCGGAGGACCCCGGAGCGGCGTCACAGCATCTGGGAGACACAGGGAGACAAGCGGGATACACGACCCTGGAGCCAGCGTCACAGCATCTAGCATCTGACCGCGGAGACTGGGAGACACAGGGAGACAAGCGGGAGACAAGCTTGGAGCCGACGTCCGTCACAACACTGGGAGACACAGGGAGACAAGCGGGAGACACGATCCTGGAGCCAGCGTCACAGCATCTAGCATCTGAACGCAGAGACTGGGAGACACAGGGAGACAAGCGGAGACAAGCCCGGAGCCGGCGTCGCAGCATCTGGCATCTGACCGCGCAGACTGGGAGACACAGGGAGACAAGCCGGAGACACGACCCCAGAGCCGGCGTCACATCATCTAGCATCTGACTGCAGAGACTGGGAGAAACAGGGAGACAAGCGGGAGACGACACACAGGGAGACAAGCGGGAGACACGACCCCGGAGCGGCGTCACAGCATCTGGGAAACACAGGGAGACAAGCGGGAGGCGTCACAAGACAAGCGAAGCGGGAGACACGACCCTGGAGCCAGCGTCACAGCAGCTAGCACCGGACCGCAGAGACTGGGAGACACAGGGAGACAAGCGGGAGACAAGCCCGGAGCAGGCGTCACAGCATCTGGCATCTGACCGCGGAGACTGGGAGACACAGCAAGACAAGCGAAGCGGGAGACACGACACACAGGGAGACAAGCGGGAGACACGACCCCGGAGCGGCGCGCAGCATCTGGGAGACAGGGAGACAAGCGGGAGACACGACCCTGGAGCCAGCGTCACAGCATCTAGCATCTGACACAGGGAGGCAAGCGGGAGACAAGCCACTGACCGCGGAGACTGGGAGCAAGCGGGCGACACGACCCCGGAGCGGCGTCACAGCATCTGGCATCTGACCGCAGAGACTGGGAGACACAGGGAGACAAGCGGGAGAATCTAGCATCTGACCGGAGAGACGAGACTGGGAGACAGGAAGACAAGCGGAAAACAGGACCCCGGAACCGGCGTCACACTTTCCCATTCTATACCTCAAGTTAGAACCCCAATGCTTCGCTGTTTGGGGAATAAACAAATATGTTTCAAATAGGAGTTATATGAACATACACATATGATTCGGGTAAACTCCAACTAATCGATAACAAAAGAAATTAGGATATATGAGTGCATTCCCAAATGTAATTTAAGTTTAAAATACAATCAAATACAAACACAATTCAATTAGCTTTTGAAAAAAAACAATCAAATACGAACTAATTCTCAAATATAACTCATATTAAATATGGCTAAACATTTAAGGGACTTCTACAAGGAAATTCAAATACGAATTGTGCTACGTTTTTACATTCTGGCCCTTTTGTAGCATAAGAAAGGCCCGAAATTAAACTTGTTCGACGGCGTTCCAAAATGGACATTTCAATCGAAGAGAGGCTCAAATTCTAAAACTGTCTCGAAACCGGGATTCTAGCTAAATTGTATTTAAAGTCTCCTTTGGAAAGGAAAACATAAGTCCTTCTATCTTAAAAGGCGGAGGTAGTAGATGAGCAGAGGTGGACAGGTGGTTTAGGAGGGGGGGGTGACGGTGTGAACATATATGCATATAAACACAACATACAAACATACAGAACCCCTCATGATCCTGCTCCTTTCTTGTTTTCAGCATCACACTTGCCTTTACCTCCTGGGAAAGGGTCAATATGAGCATAGCTAATATGAAGCAACCGCCAAAAGAACATGAAAGTGTGTCTATTAAGAACTTGAAAGTGTTTTTTCCACTGGATCGCGAAGCACTTGCACGTATTTTACCGCTGGACAGAAGATTCAAGATTGAAGACTACACAGAAAACTTTCCTGAGAATCGTCAATCCTGGCCAAACCCAAACAAAAGTCTGAAAGTGTTTTACCACTTGATTGACGATTGAAGATTGCACAAGCAACAACTTTGATGGAAATCATCCATCCTAGCCAACCCCAAAAAACTTTGAAAGTATTTTACCACTGGATTGAAGATTCAAGATTGAAATCTTTCACAGACAGCTTTTCCGAGAATCTTGTCCTCTCACTTTGAATCCACAAATTGCGGGAACTTGGAGGGTTGCAGAGTAAATGCATATGACTACAGATGGGTGCACATACTTGGTACCAAATGTATTGAACTCCTAGAGTATTGGGACAACCCTCGAAAACACATCATAGGATTTAAGATTCAAGATGTCCAAAAATAACTTTCTCAGATTCTTGAAGCTGGAATCCCAGATTTGTGTAAAACAAACAGCATTGTCCCACAACTCTGAGATGGATGCAGATTCTGTCAGATGGCAGGTGTTGATATCTTTGCTTACATTACATATGTATGTACACATGTATATATATATACATATGCCCCCCCCCCCCCAAAGTTGCAGCAAAATCAACGAGTAAAAAATATACCTAAGGAAAAAGCACAGCTCAAGCTCACCAAGCCAAGGTCCATGCACGGGGGGGGGGGTACCATATACAGGTGTGTATATATATATATATACATATATAGCAAACATGTATATACATATATATATATACACATGTGGTCACCCCCCATCCCGCCGGCCACCAACACACCAAGCTTGTCAATGATCAACAACATTGAATACCAGCATTGTTTAGCAGATAATATGTGTATATATATGTATATATATATGTATATATATATATATTACCTAGATAAACTGGAAGTATCACTTTGCTGTATATATATATATGTATACACATATATGTATACATACACCGAACATATCTGTATTTAAGCTTTTTCTTTCTGAGGCACCAAGACGTTGGGCTGCGTGTTCCCGTTCTCCTGGAGCTTGTGAAACGCGCTGAGGGCACCCTGCAGGTTGCCCTCCTTGCCACAGGCGCTGATGAGCCTCGCCTGGCGTCGGAAGCGGTCAGGACAAGGGGCAAGGTGCGGCTTTGGATAGCTGGATTCTTAGGGCTTCTTAGGGTGTCTCAAATTTTGGGGACCCCCAAATTTGCCGGTTTCCTTCAATTCCCCTCTAAATCAACTTTAAAAACGGTGCCCTCAAAAAAGGAGAGACCCATATTGCTGTGGGTCAAAACCAATGGTACCATTTTGGTTGGTAGGTGAATTCGCCACCCATTTTAGAACCTATTTTAGTGGTTGGATTGGGATGTTCACTTGGGGGTACGATTTGGATTTTGACCCATGGCTTTTTTCTACACCAGAAATCAGGAATCCCCAAGACTGGGCTGTCTCGTTACATCTTGTCAAGCCTTTCTGTGGCTTCTGCTGACACGGGAAAACACAAAGGTTCCTGAATGACCCCCCATGCACTAGCGACTGGTGAGGATAGTTGCTGATGACAATCTGAGCTGTCCTCAGATCCCCCGCTTTAGTGGACAAAATGGAAAACCCCACAAAACACTAAAAAGCTAAAAAGAAAAGCTGAGGGGATGGCTGGGAGCCACCAAGATAGGGCACCCACCAAATGATGGTTGTTCCTTTGGTTTCTATTCAAAAGCCACCCCGACAAGGGTACCCTCAGCTGCTCGGTTACCTTGTTTGAGGGTAAAAACCTTTCTTGGGCTTGGTTTGAAGGAAACTGGCCATTTTAATAGGGATCCTTTGTTTATAAACAAACAGCCCTCGTGTGTTTGAAGAAGACTCAATTCTTGCGTGGATGGACCAAAGGTTCAAATTTGCTGTTTTGTGGCGGACACCCCTCATATGGGTCCCCCGATTTTGAGAAGTCAGATGGACTCCACATGGCGTCCAAAATCAGCATGCTGGATCCCTTGTGTACATTGGTTTTTGGAGATACCATCAAGGGGTTGACATCCATGTATACCAACCCTCCGCAAAAGGGTGCTTTAACCATGGTACAAGGCAATGGGGGTTAGTGAATTTCGGGCCATAGAAGGTGCCGATGCTGAAAGTCCTTTACCAATTCTTCACGAAAAGGTTTCACCGGTATGGCTCGAACCCATGGGCAAGCCCTGTCCACGACCTTGTTCCATTGGTTCTGCGGCGGGGTTCCCTGTGCAGTCAACCCAACAATTGGCACGCATCATATGCCATCATGTGTGTGTGTGTGTGCGTCTCTAAATCCGGACCCCCCTCCCCCCCCCCGGTCAAAACACAAAGAATAGCAAAACATACAAGTACAATGGATGGTTTCCTTCGGGGCTCCCTAGCAATATCCAACAAAACAAGGACACGGTTGCGAACAACTCCCTTTAAACTCTGACCAACTTTGGCTTGCGCGGCGTCAGCCGGCCGTCGTTGGCTGAAAGTTGTTCAGACTCCTTGCCTGTCTCCCATGGGAAACACACATGCAGCCATTGTTGGGTGGTTGACTTCCAAAAGCCGACTGAGTCAAACGCTTGAAAATAGAAGTTCCTGTTTTGCTCCGCCTTGCGTTGAGTATTCTTGAATTCTTGAAAAGTTGATACCGTTTAGCCTGAAGAGTACAGGAACCCCCAGCAAAGAAGGAACATATTGGGAAAATGCCCGATCACTTCTCAAACATGGCAGCCTCATCTTGCATGGCTAGAAACGGACACCCAAAGGAAAGCACCCAGCTTTGGGGGTCCTCTAGCTTGAGAAACCCCGGGCAACGTCCAATTTTTCATTTTCAGGCCTGGCGATTGGCATCCAAGCCGGAGGCGTCCGCGTGCTCCTGCAGGCTACTGAGAAATGGGTTTTGACCCGACTGAACCATCCAACTTGTGGTTTCCTGGAGAGCACCAAAGCAAGTTTGGGCACTCAAAAATCTCATTCGACTCAGATGAACTTGTGAACTTGTGCTTCTTGCATGCTTTTTTTCTGTGGAAATTTTCATGAGCGTGTTTTTTAAGGGACACCCCAAAAATGGTGGGTGCTCGATTGGTTTCCCTTTCCTGAAGGGCCCTTCCCCCCCCAACTTTTTTTTGTCGTGTACACCGAAGCGGGAGCCCTGTCAAGACTCCTCTTTGAAGGTGGCGCAGCAGAATGGGCGTGTGTCAAAATAAATGGACTCCCACGGTCTCTTTCCATTTATTACTCCTCCCTTCAAACCAACCTGAGAAAGTGTATCCTCAAAACACCACTCACACAAACAAATTTGGAAATAGCAAGTGTAATCTTTAGGGGTGTCCTGCAAGATGGGACATGATTTGAAGCAATGCTTGCCCTGTCGAAAAGCAGGAACTGAGCTTCTGGTTGCCTGGTAATTCCCCATGACTTCATCGCTTTGGACGGAATTCATCTGTCACTTCCAAGTTCAACGATACAAACACACCAAATACAAACACGAAACCGAGCGGACATGGAGATTGCACACACCAAACCTTAAGTCCAAGTTCCAGAACACTCATGTCTTATGAAAGCTATGGTGCACTGACCGTGGGTTGAAGACTTGCTGGTGCAAGTAAAAAATGTGGGAATGAACCCAGGGATTCCCTAGGAACCACAAGATATATGGTTTGTAGGGGGTCATTCCAGTTCTCATTCCCTGCTTATCGCACCAGCAAGGGATTCATGCCATGGTCCGTCCTGCAACAGCTTGGCCGTGTCCTCGTTCTTCGCCAAGTTGCACTGCGACAGCATAGAGTCCACCGCGGATCGGCTCATAGCGCCTATGGCTCGGCGAGTTCGGAAAAGCGGGGGAAGTGGGGGGAGTGGGGGGAGCGGGGGAAGCGGGAAGTGGGGGGAGAGGGGAGCAGGGGGAGTGGGGGAGTGGGGGGAGTGGGGGGAGTGGGGGGAGTGGGGGGAGTGGGGGAAGTGGGGGGAGTGGGGGGGGGGGATGGCGCGGACCGGGTAAAAAAAGAATTCTGAAATCGGATGCGCTGATTGTCCTGCGCAAGGCAACAGAGCTCAGTGGTCAACCAGACAACTCCGTCGGACGTTCATTACCCAAGTAGGTTATGACCATAAATTGGCATAACACTTGACATTGGAAACGCGGGGAAGCTCAGAGAAAGGCCGTCCTTTTTGCCTTCCAGACCTTGGGGAAAAACACGGAGGCCAGATCCTCCAGTAGAGAGGTTAGCGTAAGGGTACCTCTTTTTTCAGGACGCCTATTTTAGTAGGGGACCCCTCCGCAAAAAAAGGGTAAAAGGGCACTGGGGGACCTAGGAGGTATGTCAGACCAAAAGGCAGGAGGACCGCATCGAGGGATGAGGATGGCGTGCCTTCCCAACCGAGGCCTTCGAATGGCCGTGACCTGGTTTCTTAGATGAGCCTATGGCCGTGGGTCAACACCAATGGTACACTTTGCACCACCCATTTTAGTCTATTTTAGTGGGGATTGGGATGACTGGGGGTACGGGGTTTTGGCCCATAGCCATGTGTCCACCCCTATGATTGGTACCCTGCACATACAAAGAGAAGACAGCATGGCCATGACCCGACTTGCAACTTCTTTGGGGCATTGGGAAGGCGGGGACCATTTCACTGCCCCGTGGCAATGTGAGAGGGTATAAATGTCACATGGACGTTGAACCCACCTGGCAAGTGGGTTATGGCTTATAGCCATGGTTGTAACTGGGCCGACTTGGGTCAGTTCCCTTACCAAACCCCCAGTGGCCATGGGAAAAATGAGCCCTCTTTTTGTAGTAGCAGCTGATCCAAAGCAAAGTCCCCAGCCAATAAAAAAGAAGAAGAGACTGGGTTTCTGCGCATGTAACCACGGGTGCAATCTACTTGGCTTGAACATCTCAGTTGTTCAGTGACCCTGGAAAAAAGGGAACCCTTTTTTGGGAAGACCATTTTCAGTGGGGCAGCCACGAAAAAAAAAGAGGGAAAACTAATTGGTGCCACTGAACAACTGAGACATCCAACTAGATGCCCGGAAGCCGAAGCGCCCTCTGCCAAAACGTCCTCCACCAGCTGGTGCATCGCTTTGTGGTCGTTGGAATGCCCGCGCACCTTGCATCTCCCGAAGGGGCAACTCAGTTGTTCAGTGACCCTGAAAAAAAGGCAACCCTTGGGGAAGACCATTTTTAGTGCGGCAGCCACCAAACAAAGGGAAAAGGGTGCCACTGAACAACTGAGGCAACTCTGGAAGACTCAACCGGACCCTTAGGGAGTTTGGGGGAAGGTAGGAGCAGTTGTTAGGCTTGTGCGCTGCGGTTGCGCCCAGCTCCGTTGATTCAATGCTCTTCCATTCAAGCTTGAAGTGTCACTCAAAAACACCTTCTCGTCACAACAGAATCCCGTTGACACAGGGAGCTTCTGCAGATGTTGTAGTACTTCAAACTTCCAAACCTGAACTAAGGGATCCCCAAGCAAAGGACCTCGATCATGTTGAACTCGTTCTGCTCCAGGCGAGCTCGCCATGAAGTCGGCAGAATATGTTGATCCATGTTGAGTGGTGCAAAGTGGTTTGTCGATCCACCGTATGATCATTGCAAGGAGCTGGGCTTGTCTATCCCTGACCATGGGTCCCTTTTGAAAGGCACCCCTCTCGATCGGAGTTGCAGCAAACCCCATGCACAATAAAATCTCTGGCGAAATGAGCCAAGCAAAAGGAAGGCAAGACTCACTTCCTGAGAGGATTGGTCAAACAACGTCCTGACTCGTTGTTTGTTTTTACCGCAAGCATATGTTCCCAGACAAGTTTAAAGGGAGAGCTTTGTAAAATCTCCCTGTTGGAAAGGAGCCACTTTTGGATTCGGTGAAGCCAACAGCTTGCCCCTTGTTGCTGTTTCATGTTGAAATGAAACCCATTCGAACTAAAGAAAGCCCAGCTAACCCCAACTGAACCCCCTACCCTTCAGACTGCAAACAACCCCAAAGCGCATTTGGGAGACCCCAAACCTTTCATTTGGGGAATGTAAGAGCAGTTTCCGTGTGAAGGGGAGGTCAGTCCTTTCACCCAGCCCATTGCACGCGGCTCAGGGTGCAAACCAACGACGGGGCCGAACTGGTTGCAGAAACGGAGTCAAGACTGGTTTCCAGCTTTTTGTTGGGCCCACGTTGACAAACTCAGTCGATGATAGCTTTGGACATAGCAAACTATACATGAGGATTAGCTGATGTGCACAAGCACATGCTTTGGGCATATGAGTGTGTGTGTGTGCGGGTTGGCTAATTTCATTGCTAAATCCAGCATAGAATCAACACGGTGTCAAGAGAGTGCAACATCCCTAAGAGTCTAAGGGTGCCTTTTTGCTGGATGTTCAACCCATGTAGGTTGAATAACATAGCCCTAAGGCAGCACCTTTGTGACCACAAGTGGGCAAGGCACGTCCAAGTTCCGTCCAAGAACCCCAATGGCTAAACCACTTGGCAAAAGTCGGGCAGGCAAACTGCCCGAAAAAACTGGCCCATTTTAGCAAGACATCATCAACATGACCCTCAAATCTGTTCCTCAAAGGGACGCCCCCCCCCGCCAAAAAAAAAAAAAACAAACACAAACAAACAACAACCACAAAACAAGAAGGTGGGAATCAGCAACAAACAACTCTACAGTACAGGAACTCCTTGTTTTGGGCGAGGATGTTTGACAAACATTTCCTGTGGAATTTCCCGCAGCCGTTTGTGAGCTTCATTTTGACAGAATCTCACACCATCCCCAGGCGCCAGCAGCACCAGAAGCTTCTCGCTCTTGCGCACCGATGCAAGGCCTGCGTGTTTTTGCGTTTGCGCCGTCCGGTTCACCCGAGCGATTTTTGGTAGCGGCCAACAACGCTTCCTCAATTTAACCCCTGTGTTGATGTTTCATACTTAGCCAACCCTAAAACATAAAATGGCTTTGGAGAAGACCCCGCTTGAAGCAAAACCTAAAAGAGAACCATCGGCCTCATTGTATTCCGGTCTCAACATGGATATGACTGTGAATAGGGAACCCCTGAAAAGTGGTTGGTGGACATGAAACCCCACCGCAATGATGTCCACCAAAGGGTCCCCCATTTCATCAGTTGGTGGTAGGTTGAAGGAAGAGGCCCCAGTTTCTTGACTTTGACTTACACGTCATTTGTCTACGCTTCCCGCAATCCTCAAATGCCTGGTGCAACTATCTTGTCTCTAAGTATGCTTGTTTGTTGTGTCCGTCTTGTTCCATTCACCCTGTCTGTACCAATGTCATTCAAGACACAAACAAAGACAAACACAACTACATTATCAATAGTACTATGTATGATAATAAAACAAATAAAGACACAATTAACACATAAAAAACACAAAGACATACGTACACACACACAAATACAAGACAACACAACAAATAGCACATGAAAACTAACATGGAACAACAGAAACACATAACATGTGTATGGGCATGAATTATATATTAACAAATACACAATCAAATAAACCAGTTAAATAAATAAACACATACGTACATATATACATGACTAAATAAATAAATAAATACATGAATAAATAAATAAATGATTAAATAAATAAATACATGAATTAATAAGTAAACACATAAGACATAGAGACAGGACAATGAAGAACCACATACATAAATGACACAAATGATAGAAATAACACATATGTCTAACGAAATACATAAAGAAAGAACAAAACAAATAATAATATAACTAAAGAAATAACAAACGACGGAAATCGCAGTCAGAACAAACAAACACACAAACGAAAGACCTTGTCTGTATGTCCTGCTATTCTCTTGAAATTATTTTGTTATTGTTCATTTGTTCATTCATTCATTAATTTCATTCGTTCATTCATTCGTTCGTTCATTAAGTCATTCAGTCAGTCAGGCATTCATTCATTAATTCATTCATTCAGTCAGTCAGTCAGTCAGCCAGCCAGCCAGCCAGCCAGCCAGTCAGCCACTCAGTCATTAGTTCATTGACTAAATCATACATTTATTTCGTTCATTAGTTTCATTCATTCCCGTATTATGTTTGCATTTATTTCATGTTTTGCTTTGTTTCTCTATGTCTCTCTCTCTCTCTCTCGCGCTCGCTGTCCTTTTCTCTTGCTCTCATTGACTTGAGATGACTCGAACATGATGTTGTGTCGCAAAGCGCTTCCAGAGGAACCACGAAGAAACACCTAGTGGTATCTGGAAGAACTTGGGCGACCCCAAGTTGGTTATAACCGATGGGTTCCATTTCGTGGCTGACCTTGAAGCCGGACGGGGTTTGGACCCCATCTGCACATTCTGCAATGCCAAACTCTGAAATAGAGAATTGGATATTGGTTCCCAAGTACAGGATCATGGGTTTTCATGGGTTTTCACCTCTATCAATGTAAAGGACCACGGGTATTCGCCTCTCTCCACATCGGATCCCTCGAGTCTTACCCAGGCTAGGTCCTCCAGTAGAGAGGTTAGAATAAGTTGGTACCAACTTTTTTCTGCAGTCTATTTTAGTAGGGGAACCCTCCAAACCCCCAAAAAAAAAGCTGGGTAAAAGAGCGGGCGCCCTTTCGCTGGGGGACCTAGGGCTTCGAGTCATCGGCCAGCGGCCTGCCAAGCGGAAGAGCTTGCGGCAGGCGGCCACGGAGCGCCAGCGCGAGGCCTCGGCCCCCGCGGCCTCGAAGACTTTCCTCGGGCGCGCGGCGCGCGCGAAAGACGGGGCGTCAGCCACTGGAAAAAGGGCCGTCTATGGGCGGCATGGTTTTAAGCCAAAAGAAGCGAGTGGCATGTGTTTAAGGGAATCCCCGAAACAAACATGTTGTTTTAAGGTTGGCTTCCTGACAAAACCAGACAAAAACGAGGGTAGCCTCAAACAAAGATACAAGCATATTTGGGCTTGAGCTTTTGGACCCCAGTTCCCGTCCCCTTTGAAGGTGGAAAAGGGAACCATTTGAAAGTCCGGAACAGTTGGGTCAGAAGCCGGCAACAGTGAATGCGCACCTTTTAATAAGTATGGATCGACAAGGCAGTCGGAAAAAAAAAGTCACGGATGTGAGCTAAGGAACCTTCATGAGCTCTTTCCAGCTCGTGAGCTGGCTACAAGTTGCCCTGACCTTGCCCCGATCAGCCCGCCCAATTTGGCTAGCCAGGCGGCAGGTCGAAATGCGTGGCCAGGCCCGTGAACTGTTGCGTGAGGTTCTCGCTCAGCTCAGGGGCTCGGGCCAAGGCCAACAGCACCTGAAGCAGCTTTTTCGATGCTGGGTCCCAAAATCTTGGGTGTTCCTTGTGGCTTCCCTGGAATACAAAGTTTCGAGCAGGTGCGTTTTGTGGGTATCCTCTCAAAAAACTCAAAATTGTGGGTTTTCCTTGTGGCATCCCTTTGAAAAAGCACCCACACGCACACAAGGGGGACGCCTTGTGACGGTCATTGATTTGATGATGCCCCTGGTGTGGGGAAATGTGCGATCGTGTGGCTTTTGTCAGAATGTCAACTCCTATGTGGATTGGCCAATTGGCCGGTGGCATGTTGCTTCTTGATTCTTTTGATTTATCTACGTTGATGGAGCTGGTTCATACAAATAAGCCAACCAGCGGTCCTAAATGTCAAAGGCCTGGCGAGCCTTCCTGACGCCCTATGGACGTTGCCAGGCGCACCAAAGAGGAACGGGCTCTTCTTGGAGGGATGTATGTTTCTTGAAATAAACAAGCACCACAATTCTAGGGGTTGATTCCTTTTCCAGTCTTTACAGCCATCGTTCTTTTCAAGAACCAGCCATTTCCCCAGGGTTTTGGGCGGTTTTCTAGAAAGAAGGATGCCTGGAAAGAATGGGGAGGAAGTTACCCCTAGAACAACAAGCCTCTAAGCCAACGCATGGGTTTCAAATTAGCAAAACCCATGAGGACGGGTACCTTGTTTTCTGGGTTGGTTGTACTGCCGCGAAGAATCATCTCTCTCAAATCACTGGTGCAATATACTGCACGCATCACAGATCAGCTTTGCCTGGGAAATAAACCCCAAACACCCAACCAAAACCTACAACCGGGCCATACGAGATGAGCAGCACCCAAGTCGAGCGAAACCCACACGAAATCGATTCACAGGGGGCCCAAAGATTACCCTGTAGCTTCCCTTGAACTGATGCTTAAAGGGAACATCTATGGAACTGAACCAAGTAGTACGAGGTATGGATTTCAGTGGCCAACTTCCCCAGTCTAACACGAAAAGACACAAAACCCTCACGATCGGCCTCCTTTGGGCTTCCAGGCAAATCGAAGAAACCAAACACATCCGAAAATAACTCACCCCCTTCCAGAAACTTGTCTCCCTTGCTGTCGTTTTTGAGCACACCCCTAAGGAAAAACCGAAAGCTCCCACAAATTTGAGCTACACCCCGAAGGAATACCCGAAAACATTCCCCACGGATTTCCCCACGGATTTTCCCACGGATTTCCCGGCTTTCCCACGTTCAAAAGCCGCAAAAGCTCCCCACACCCGGGGTTCGGACCCCTTCGGTCGCCGCCCCCCGCGCCCGCGCGCCGCGCCTTGGTGGCCACGTTGCCTGGCAGCTCCGCCCGCGCGACGTCGAGGGCCGCCAGCGCCTCCAGGCACTCGGCCACCTCCCCGCCTCGGATCGAAGCCCGGGGGTGGGGGGTCCATGGGGAAATCCACCGGGGTTCCCCGGAGAAAGTGGGGATTCAAGCGGGGAATTTAAGCGGGGGGGGGTCAAACTGTCCGTAGGGGTGGTTTTAAGGTCAGTTTGGCTGAAGATAGATGAGTTCAGCGGTTTTTTTTCCTGTGCCATTTGTCCAAAGGGACATCTACCCAAACCCGAAGCTTGTCGGTATATCTAGGGCTGAAAGTGGGAATCAACCGGGGAAACCAAGAGAAAGTTGAAACAGGGGAAAAATCCACCGGGGAATCCACCAGGGAATCAACAAGGATTGGGTCAATGAACCGGCTTTGGGGGAATGAACCAATTGGATCCATTTAGGGGAATTGACTGGGGTTCCTCAAGGCATTGATTCATGTGCGATAGGGAATCAACTGAAGTTTTATCAGCTGGGGTTGTGGGGTCAACAAACCAACAGGGGTTTTGGGGAATGAACTGGTTTGGGGAACGCACTGTGTGGGATTTTCCCGGAAACCAAAAAGAAAGCTTGAATCAACAGGGGAATCAACAGGGGGGTGGAGAATGAACCATTTGGATAAGGGAACCCAACCGGGGTTTGGGGAATGCGGCAGAACTGGATCGCGAACTGAGGTCTGGAGCCTTCCGGTGATGGACTTGGAACCTATGGATTAGACTAACCTTGCGGTTGAGTAGAAATCCCCTACCCTGAGAGCTGCCCATTGGAAAACCACGCAAGGGACCCCTTGCGTAACTCAAGGTAGGGATGAAGGATAGGTGGGCACGGGAAAATCAAACATAGCAATCCCAAACCTCTAGTGGATCGATTTCCACAAGCTGTCGGCAAGATGTCGGCGCTGGAAAGTTGGAACTAGGGGGAATTCCGCACTGCGGGGCCAGCTTCATGTCAACGTGATTTAGATAACCGGCCTAATATGGCTGTGGGTCAAAACCAATGGTATGATTTTGGGGTAGGTGCACCACCCATATTTCCATTTCAGTGGGGATTGGGATGTTCACTGCGGGTACGGGATTTTGACCCATGGCCCGTGGCCATATGTTTTACCATCTTCAAAGGTCAGCTTCTAGTAGCTCCTGTAGGAAGTAACTGTTTGACCTCGGTCTGGTGGTGAAACTGACGCCCACTATTTCAGTTTTTCGTGGCGCCATGGAAATGCCATGGTCTGAGCACATGGCATACCTGGGCCTGTTGGGGCATCAAACCGCTCTGCCATTTGCTCAGGTTGGCATGGCTGAGCGATCCGGTTGGCCACCCACTCGCAGGCAGGGGCTGGCATGACGAGAATAATGACTTTGATAATCTAGCTCTGGCCGGAGTACCATAGCCATAACTTCACTCCCAACCTTCAACTTTCATGGATGGTTTGCACAGATGCAGCTTCGTCGGGTTGGTGGCCCAATTGGGAAACCATACCCTTTGAAGTAAAGGCATGCTCAAGAAAGAAACAACTGCCAACACAACGAACTTTGCATTGGAAGGGCAAATGATCGAAACACATGTCTCTACACAACGGCAAGACAAGGATGTGGATAGTCCAGGAGCAGGAATCTGATTTGTTCCCATCCTCGAGCCATGCTAGTTCCTCTGCTGGAAAGCATCGGCAACTCGAGCTTGACTCCGGCTTGTCAGCTTTGGGCCATTGATTCCGACCAAATGCGAAGTGACATTGCACAAGAAGTTCGAACAAGGGTCAAAATGGTCAAACGTGAAGCCCTGTCCCAGTAGTTCCATTAGTGGGTTGTACGTCATTCCCTTCAGTGTGATACACAAGGAAACCAAACACAGCTTACTCAAGGACTCCAAGGGATGCTGGCCGAATGTGGAGAGAAGCAATGCAGCACTTTTTTCCGGGGTTGACGTTTCTGGGCTGCCCTCAGATCCCCCGCTAAAAGTTTAACTTTTAGTGGGTTGAATGGAAACTACCACTAAACACTAAAAGGCAAAAAAACTAAGGAACCGGATGGCTGGGAGCCACCAAGGCTTGTCTCACTTGGTCAAAAGCTTCAAAGTCCAGAAGCTTTGGGAAGTGAGATGTAGCTATGTGTCAAAGGGGGACCCCAAAATGTTGGCCTTCCTTGTGCTTTCCCTTCAACCCAGCAAAGGGTAGTCTCAACAAAACACACACACACACACACACACACACACACACACACACACACACACACACACACACACACACACACACACGCACCACAAAACAAGACCCACAAAAAAACCAAGACACACTCAAGCACACAGACACACACATAACAAAAAACACACAAACACGCCCATATTGATTTGCAGAAAAAAATGGTGCCCGCGCACGCCACCGAACATCGTGCCGCCAAGGCCGTCCGGGAGCCCGGGCTCTTGGCGTGCTGCAGAATGCCGCGGAAAACTTCCGGAGTCTCCTGACCGCTGGTCCCTAGCTACCCAAGGGGAAACCAACATCAAACCTATCACTTGCAGGAGCAACTTCCTATGCGAGGGGTGTTTGGGGCTTTGAAGCCAAGAGCAGAGCACCTGTTCTTTTTCCTGAGGGTTGATCCCGCGTTCTTGTACGCGTTGAGAAGCCACTAAGCCCGGAAGCATCCATGGCAAGAATGGGGAAGTCTAGCTACTCGGTATTAAAACTCCTATTAAACACTGTGCAACTTGCAACTAGCAGGATCCGAACCCAACCCCTGCATTCTGGGCAAACAACACATTTGATTCACACACCTGAAATGTAGGCAAATCCCTCATGACATTCAGGGGGAACATTCGTGCAGGTCGCTGGAGGCGCCCTTCCCCTCATGAGGATGTATTTGCCTGGAACTTTGCGGCTGAGTTTGTCACTTGCAGAACTTGCGGACCCAGATCTCCAGCACTTGACCAGCCACCCACAACAGGGCTGGTATCATAGAGACTGGCAAGCCTCATGCCAAAAACAACATGGAGTGGAAAGAAGAGTTTTGGAAGACTGCCATCCTAAACCAGACCCCCACTTTTGTGATTGGCAAGAGTGTATTATTTGTTTGCAACCAGACTGGGGCATCCTGCAAATTGGACTTGGACCACTTGCCAAGGGCAAAATCTCTTGGCTGGTAGAAAGGGAACAAGAAACACCAAACAGCAAATCAAATAAGACCCATCCATTGAAAGGCCATATTTTCTCTTGAAAACCCTCCATATGATTGCAACGGCCATACGAAAGGTGTTGAGGTGGTGTTGATTCCCCTTAGACTTGACTTTTTTTTAAGCTGCCGCGGGCCCTCCGCAGTTTGACCACAGGCCAGCAGGGTTCCTTCCGCGAACTTCCGGTTTTGCATCGTTTGCATCTACGCTCTGCGGCGTATGCTGTGCAAGTCTTGCTTCTGAAGGTATTGGCGCAGAAAGTTTAACGGTTTAATGGAAAACCCATTAGTTGGCAAAAAGTCAAAGTCCTAACATCCAAGCAAAATGCACCAAAGGAAAGTAAGTCTAGTAGTAAGACACCGAGCTTTCTGCCCAGAGTCCGGTGGTGAAGGAAAACCCCAACTTCCATTTGGCTAAGGCCCCAGGGAAAAAAACTGTTTAAACCAACAAGGGAAAATAGAACCATAAAAAAACATATTCTTAAGCAAATGGAGGCTGAGGAAGGGAAACAGGGCAGCTGCACTGCGGTCCCTCTGATCTTGCCACGGTCGCTCAAATGCCTCGAGCCTCCATCTCCTTGCGCCCAACTTTGCGACCGTCTCGGGCGCCCTTCCGACTTTCCAGCTTCTCAAAGCCTGGTGTCGCGGCTTGCCCTTGGCACGCAGAGCATCCTGCACTCGAGAGCATAGGTGTCCTTTTTGGTTGAACATCGATGGCCCTGGTAGTTGATTGAACCACCAGGTAAACCAGGAATCGCCCTCTATTTTGAACCAAATCAACCAAAAAGGACACCTATGAGCATGTGCAGACATGGCCATGGGTCAAAATCCAAATCGTCCCCCCAGTGAACATCCCAATCCGACCACTAAAATAGGTTCTAAAATGGGTGGTGAATTCACCTACCCCAAATGGTACCATTGGTTTTGACCCACAGCCACATGGGTTCTGGAGGTATGATCTATATAGCCTATACGACCTTGACAGTTGCAGTCACATCATCTGTAAGAACGCCCGTGCCTTCTGCAACATAGGCTTGTAAGATCTTGTAAGGCAGTATATGCTCCTTAAGTGGAAACCTCCAAACCTCCAACACATATCTGAACATGCCCTGGATCGTTGCCCGCGACAGATTTGGTCAATCACCCAAACCGGATTGACCCAACCAGCTCTCTCTAAACTAGATAGGCCTTGCTAATTACCCCATGAAACCCGGTAGATTGGGTAACCCTAAATGGGCGCTAACGAATGAGACATGGTCCTTGGGTGTAACCGATCGGAACCTGTTTTTATGCTTCTGAATAGACTGACCTGCCAAAATGGCCCAACACGAAAATCAGGTTAGCTTCGGATGAATCTGAATTTAGAGGGACGGGAAATCCATTTTAGCAGATTCCTCTGGCTGTATGACATAATAGAAGGCTCTGGACAAAATAGGGACCCCTGGCTGCCTGACTACCCTTCAAAGTGGTAGACGTGCATCCCTGCTCATTGATGTCCGCCAAAGCGTCCCCTGCAAAACAAACAAACACAACACACACAAACGCAAGCACAGGCACAAGTATAAACACACACGTCCCACACACACACACACACCAGCGCATGGGCGCCTGTCTTTTTCTTGGGCAAGTAGATGGTACGGGTGGACACCAGGTACACCACCGCCGCCAGCAGGAACATCACCAGCTCCGACGCCACAGGCTGAAGCACCTAGGAGTCTGCTGTCGCCTTTGAGCATCCCCGAGATTCCCACAGACACTCCCTGGGTGAAATGTGGGGAATCAGGCCACTTTTGGAGGGGCAGGGGTTCATTAAGTTTGGGGGGTGGTTCTGGCCCCTCCAAAAGTGGTCTGATTATCCACCAAACCCAGGGACACCCGACACCCGCCTATGAATCAGTTGATTAATATGGGGTCAACATTACTGTGATTTACAGCGGATGGTTGCGAAATCCACTTCGCACCACCGTTCAGAAACCCTGGTTTCTGATGATTCCCCTGTAAATACCAACAAACCATGGTCTCAACCATGGTTTCACAGTGGCGCGAAGGGATCTCGTCCATCCACAAACCTAAAAAATGGGGCGCTGCGAAACCCAACTCATTCATGATTGTAGGAGTCTACTCCTATTATAGGAGTAGTTAGACCTTAACACAAATTATAGACCCTGGTCAATTCACGCGGTTTTCTTAACATACCGATCGACCGTAAATTTTGTTTAAACTGTGTTGCTCTTTCCCTGAGCAAAAGGTCTCTGGTTCAATGGAAGGGATTGGACTCCAAATGCATGGGGCCAAGGGATGTGAACTCCGCTCCTTGATCCTTCGCAAAGATGCAAAGCTTGGGTGGGATATGGATACGTCACAACGGCCTTTTAAATGCCACAAAGTCGAAACTTCCAAGAGTATGGCTGGGGACAGTACAAGCTGGATACCATGCCTTAGCATATCTATATACACAGGTGTACAAGACTTTGTACAAACGCAGCAACACACATCTTTGTATGGCGCTCCTCTCCTTTGAGTTTTCTTTGTTCACCAAGGGAAAGTTTCTGATCAATAGATTTTTTCACCCAGGGAAAGGTTCTCCAAAGGAAATGCCATAG